AGATATGGTAGAGAAGGATGTGAGAATAGCTATTTATAATAAGAAGTGATGTAAGTTACATTTTTAAAATAATTAAATTAGAGGAGTTATAATTATAATTTATAGTGTGTTTAATTGGAATTCAATAAAGAAAGCCAATAGTCTTTGGAAATTTATATAATTTTCAGTTTCATTTTATTAGTAAAGTGTGAATTTAAAGTATGAATTAATGTATATGATTAAATATGTTTTTTTGGTTAATTAAAAATAAATATTATATTTTAAAAAATAAATACAAAATGGAACAATAAAGAGAGTGAAACCTTACTTATATATATATATGATTTTAAATAATTTTCCACCAATAAGCCTTATAAATATTTGTTGTATGATATATGATTAAGTCCTTTCATTTTCTTTGCCATTTGATTATAACTTATAGTGTAATTAAATTTTGTATTGAATGATTGTCATAAACATTTATTTATTATTATTTGTTGAATAATATATGATTAAGTCCTTTCATTTTCTTTACCATTTGATCATAACTTATAGTGTAATTAAATTTTGTATTGAATGATTGTCATAAACATTTATTTATTTATTTATTTTGTTGAATTATATATGATTAAGTCCTTTCATTTTCTTTGTCATTTGATTATAACTTATAATGTAATTAAATTTTGTATTGATTAATTGTCATAAAGATTTATTTATTTATTTTTAAAAAGAAAATTAAAGACTTAAATATTTTTCCACTAATAAGGAGAGAGTGAAACCTTACTTTTATATATATGATTATATAATACTTGAATTAATACCTATGTACGGTCTATATGTTGAATCGATGGAATTTTTTCCCAAACCACTTTCCGTGCTTATGTCAATGCTTGGATCTCAGTGTGCACCTCCAATTTCCGAGACATGAGCTTTTTGTTACCAGTTTTCTTGTTGAGGATGATATATTACTGTTTTTCATCAATTATAGATTCCACTAGATGCTTTGTTTTGGTCCACGATGATGTGATATTACGCTTCTTAATGTAGGATAAGGCTGTATATGAGATGAATCACCGTGATCGTCAAATTCAGATTGAACAAGAAGAAAGGAATGTGAGTGATGCTACTAAACTTCTTTCACTATCATACTAATTTTCTTATTGTCAATATTGGTAATGTTAACATTGTTAATCTTTCTCTGAAAAAATGGTTTAAATCCTATTTAGAGGATCTCTGAGACCCTTGACGCGGAGATTAAGCTTTGGGCTGCTGGGAAAGAAGGGAACATGCGTGCATTGTTATCATCATTGCATCTCGTAACTACTTATAAATCAACATGTCTCTTTACATGTTAATATCAAGTCTATTCAAGTGTTCTTAGTAAGTTTCATCCGCATGCAGGTACTCTGGCCCGAATGTGGTTGGGAAGCTGTCTCGCTAACAGATTTGATCACTTGCGCGGGAGTCAAGAAAGTGTACAAAAAGGCAAACTTGTATGTCCATCCTGATAAAGTTCACCAGAAAGGAGCTCAACAGAAGTATATAGCTGAAAAGGTCTTCAACATATTGAAGGTATATATATATATTTTTTCTGAGTACAAACCTTTTTGCTCACAGTAAATGTGTAGTGGAATGTTCAATTTCTTGAAGAGTTCTCTTTAGTTGATGCTTAAGTAACCTCAGCGCTTCGAAATGACAGCATTCAGTTGAGTAAAGCCGCTACTACTGCATAGTTTATAGCTGTGAATATATCTGATCGAGCTTTCGTACAGGAAGCGTGGAACAAGTTCAACAAAGAGGAGCTCTCTTAATCCTCTCAAACCTGTTTAACGAACATAATCCTTTCTTGTTGTAGCATTCATACAAGTTTTCTGTATAATTCGGATTCGTTCAAATGTGATGTATTGACTTTAGTCTATTGTATTTGTTGTTATCATGTAAATTAAAATATCAAAAAATGTTCTACTGAGTTTTTAAAAAAAATAACTATAGATTCTGTATTTAATAACAAGAAGTAAAGAAAAAGAAGTGGTTCAACGACCAAGATAAAGTCAATATGTGTTTTTTTACTTTTAGACAGGTAGGCATACATATTTCATAGGAAGGATCACCAAACAAATAAATTAAAAAAGATAATACAGTATTCCGACGACCGTGATCGAATCGTGCGATGTTTGACCAGCGTAGTCGCCGTGTTACGGTGGTGGCGCTGCTATTACAATTGTTGGTTCTGAGCGATCTGTCGAATTCCGTCGGAGCTGCGAATTCGGTGTCGGCTTTCGTCCAGAACGCCATATTGTCCAACAAGATTGTCATCTTCTCCAAGTCCTACTGCCCGTAAATTTTCACTCTTTTCTCCTCTTCAAATTTTTGTAATTTGGGCAAAGGGTTCCAAGTTTTGTTTGGTCCATATCTAGTCAAATCGGTGATTGTGTTTTGAATTTTGAATTTGGCTACTTTATTAACTGATTAAGTTTAATCGTGAAGAGTTTGTGAATTGTCTTACTTGTTAGGTATTGCTTGCGGTCGAAACGTATATTCAGCCAACTTAAGGAAGAGCCATTTGTTGTTGAGCTTGATCTGAGAGGTTTCACTTTCTTTGTCTCACCGAACCTTTCTCTGTTCCTTGAGATTTGGTTTTTAAAACTTTTGTGATATCTTTGTATTTTTTTTTGGCAGAGGACGGAGATCAAATCCAGTATGAGCTTCTTGAGTTCGTTGGTCGCCGTACTGTCCCTCAAGTTTTTGTAAACGGCAAGCATATTGGTGGATCAGATGGTATCCACCCTCACTCTTTCTCTTCTCCAAGTTTCTTTCTTTTCTCCAAGTTTCTCTTTTAACTCACTAGCCTTGCTTTCAGATCTTGGAGCTGCTTTGGAGAGTGGTCAGCTGCACAAGCTTCTTGCTGCGAGTTGATTTTGCACAACCTGGAGTGTGGAGCTAATGTTATTTAGAGGAAATAGGAATATTTGCTAGTAGTAGACTTAATAAGTCAATTTGGTATGTGTCTGTGTTAACTGACTCGATTTCTGCTTATATAAGTTGTGATGCATTGATAAAGTCTTGATCTTTTGGTGTCGCATTGCTCTGGTGATTGAATTGCTTTCATATTCCATACTTGTGTGCTCTAGCGAAATGGTTCATATGAAAATGATCGAATTCACTCTTAAGAATAGCAACTACACAAACAGTGATGGTGAAACTCAGTGATGTTGTAACTGCAGTTTTCACCACAACTGCTGTTTCTCAAACATCTTCTACTGGTGGTAATATATTATTATAGTGCTAGTTCATGATTCTCTTGCAACACATGATAGTAGATCGAAGAAAGATCTGCTCATTAGGACTACAATTTTTGCCTTCAGGCGTTGGAGAAGATTACAGAGAAGAAACAACAGCATTATTGCTTTTATCTATTAAACACAAGCTAATCAAAATTTCCAATTCATAATTCTTGGTTCTCTTGACCGTTCTTGATTCCTCCTTTGTGTTTAAAATTGACTTAGTCATTGCTTTGAAATGGCTAAGTCGCAAGTTTTTCAGTAATTGCTTTGAAATGGCTTGTAGGACTTGAGATCGAGAACCACTCCAGCTATTGACCCTGCAGCTGCAGCAATGCTTACTACCAAACACCCTGAGCTGAAGACTTGAAGGCAAACCCATCTTGTGCTCCATCTAGGTATTTTCTTCTGCGCTATGTACATTTCCACGGGGAAATACACCGTCAACGGCCAAAACCCGAGTGACCCGAGCAGACCCACAACGTCATTGAAAAACGGAAGAAGCATTGAGATAACTGTCGTTATGATGACAAACACTGTCCTCCATATCAACCTGAGTAAGCCATTACACGTCACATAAAAGCGTGGATTATTACGTACACCTCATTTCTAGAAATCAGATGCCATTAGTTTTAAAGACAATATTTAGTACCTGAATAAATTCAAACGGAAAGGCTTGAAACCGGGAATAGGGATTTTGATGTCTTTTGCAATGAACTCGCTATCAGGGAAACGAATGGAAGCTTGCTTCTCGACGAAAGCAAACAGAGGTTGGCAATAGACTTGGTATGCACCAATAAGGTGAATCACAATGGCTGCATTTGCAATGTCAAGAAGCCAATAAGGATTATAAAACCCAAAACCGGTTAAGAGGTTTCCCGGAGACAGGTCTCCAAAGGCTGCATAACCCATACAACCACACAACAAGTAGAACATAGTTGTTACACCGACGCTCACAAGTGTTGCCTTCTTCATCGTTTTCTCTTCTGATGGTGGTGACTTTACTGTGTCCTGTTTCAGGCCAAAAAACAACTTCAGGATGTGACCAAGACTTAATAGCTTTGATCATCAAGACTTTTAAAGAAGATAGAGTACCTGAATCTCGATGAGAATGATGGAGTAAGAGTAAGCAAAAGCAATGTTTCCAAGAGCTTGAAAGCTTCTCCATATCTTTTGTGTCTCTGTTACTGCTCCAATGCTAATCCCAGTGAGACTTCCCTTCACCTTCCCATTTACTGATGAAACCGAAACAAAAAGAAGGAAAAACATTATTTTTTGCATTTAGTAGCTATAACTTATGAAATCTCTTACTTAAGACACTAGATTTGTTGGGTTTTTTTGTTCAAAGAACGAACCGACTACTTGGGCTATGCCAAGGGCGAGGCCGGCTGAGGAATAAGTGAAGGACATTACGGCAGCAAGGATTGAGAGCCACCAAAGTTGATCAAAATCCGGAATCTGAGAGAAGAGAATCTGTACTAATCCAAAAGCTATCATGTAAGGATTACTGTTCATGTGACATGCATCTTTCCCCCCACTTTTGTGAAAACAGTTGGATCTCTTTATTGCCCTGTTTAAAAAAAAAACAAACAAAAATTGTTATTTTGATCAAACTCGGTTGACCCATTTCGTAGCTGTTTTAGTGTTTAACTAGCTAGCGAGAACACTCACATCATGCTTATAGCTGAAGCAATCGTGTAGCCAATTGCAACACCAAAGATATTAAGATACTGAACAATCCCACATAGCGTCACTTTCACGCCACCTGTCAAGAACAATGAAACATGTTACGTTCTGATGTGATCCCCGCTGTCCATTTTTTTGTTGTAAAAGAGAGACTCTACTTCGAATTTTGTAACTACCTAGGTTTGATCGGACAGCGTCCATATAAGTGTAGTTCCTCTTGCCGGAGATAGGGTCGCCGGAGCGGTAACAGGAGGCTAGGAGAGAAGAAGTGAAATAAGTGACGATGGAGAAGAGCAACATTACCACCGGTCCGGCGATCCAACCTAGCTGTGCCGTAGCCCATGCTAGTGACAAAACTCCCGAACCAATCACCGCTGTGATTATGTGTGCACTCGCCGTCCAAGCACTCCCTAAACCCATTCAATTCAAAAACAAAACTTTATACCTTTCTCATACATTTTCCCAACATAAACTAAACAGAACATGTTTTAACTTAGAATTAACAAGGTTGTGGATGAATTATTATCTAACTAAGTGGTCTCAGTTAAGAATATAAAGGAGAAACATATATACCAGTTCTTTTGATTTTGCCGTCGTCGTCGAAGCATTTGGACCCGGCGGTTTGCGGCATGATGACGGCGAGAACTGTTTGCTGGCTAACCATTTTTGTTCGTTTTTGCTCTGTTTTTTTTTTTTAATGTATGAAGTTACATGCAGCAGAGTAAGCGTTTGTAAGAGTAAAGTTTGAAAGATAAAAACAGAAGCTAAGGGAAATAGTAGTAGTATATGCAAGGTGATGTCTTTGTTAACTGAAGAAATTATTTATAATGAGTGTTTACGAACTCTGTTTGGAAAACTCTGATATCTATTATAAACTCTATGATTCTTGAGTTTTGCTAAATCGAACAAGAAGGAGAAGAGAAGGTGTGGATGAAGAGAAACTGAGTGTGGAGTGCTGATTTTATATACACAGAGATTGGTAAAACACTTAAAAAGTGTATCCAATTTTTTTTGGAGGGAAACAGTATAAAGTAAAAAGTGTACTCAAAATAATATCGTGTATTGGTAAAAAGGTTGGTACGACCAAAATGCTACTCATGTTACTTTTGAAAATTATGACTTCCATGATTTGTATGAATGATTCGAACACGATAATAAAAAAAGCAAAGAAGAAAGAAAATATAGGCATGAAAAATCGGAAGTCCAAGATGCTCCCGTCGCTTTCATTTGTACTTAAATTCACACCTTTGAAACACATATTTATGTGAGTGTGTTAAATCTCAATGTTTATTTTCACTTACAAGTATAAATGTTTGTGCGTAAGGTTTGAGGAAAAAAGAGTAACCTTTATATCATGCAAGATACAAAGAGTGCTATTGTCACTTGAGATTATTTACTTTTATTTACCTTGTGGAGAGCTAAATTTATTTAGAAAACGGCTCACTGTTTCAAAAGTTCAAGTGTTAGTAAAACGATGGTTGGCATATATATGGAGTGATCGAGATGATGCCGCTATAAATAATGAGTGCACGCAATCATGTGTAGATTTTAAAACGATAACTCTATACTAAAAAATGTGATTTTAGTCTGATCAAATAGTCACACACACACATATACTGTATATATCTTACCTAGAATTTGAAAGAATATATATGACCATCATTATATAGAAGTTTCTGCAGGTAACTTACTTTTCTTCTCGCAAAAAAATATTTTTAATACTTATGCCAACTCCACTCCCTAAAAACATACTGTAGTAAATATCACACAAACCGTCTCATGAGAGTTCACCAGCTATGTAAAATGACTGTTAATTATTTTCAACCTCAGAAAAACAAAAGTTATGTAAAAAAGACTAAAGAAACGTGCTGGCTTATTTATAAAAATACCTAAAAATATGTTTTCTAGGCTATTTGCGTTGCTTTAATAAAAGTTGAAGGTTTTTCTTGTTGTAATTTTTCTCTATTATAGTTTTAATTTTTCTTGTTGCTTTAATAATTTGATACAGTAAGTTTGATAAGGACTTAGACGAAAATTAAGTTTAATAATTTGATACTGTAAGTTTGATACAGTAATTTTTCTTGTTGCTTTAATAATTTTCTTGTCGTCAGACAAGTCATTAGACTAAAATTAAGAGGGAAATAGTCAAAAAGTGTGTATTCGACTATTATATATTCATTCAGATAACAATACATTATTTAGAAGGCAAAACTTGTGTACATTGAACAAATAATTAAAAAAAAATGATAATTATAAAGATCTAGGAGATCAAGAACAAGATTACAAGAATAAGGTTCTTCAATTGATGGTTATCAGATCGTCCACTAATTTAAGCACACGCACACAGCCATCCTCAATGTCGATTAACGAATTAAAAAAAAAAGAATGAACCTGCAGAGAAACGAATTTCATCATTTTAACTGCACTACTTTCTTCAACTTGATCCCTTAAAAAGTGTTATCTTCATTGTATACCAAAAAAAATCTATATTGCAATCTTTTAAAAGGGTATAAATCAATCATCCCAAACACTTGAATATTATCTATTTCATTTTTCAGCCGCCGCGATTTATCTCATTCGAATTTAGGAGAAGGAGCATCAGATTCGTTGCTTATACTATTATTGGTTAGGTTTCTAGTTTCTACTTAGGTATTGTGCTATAATTCGTATTCAAATAAAAGTTATGATCTTAGAAAATTATAAAGTTTTGGTTCCTTCCATTATTATATCTAAATTCAAAATAATTATAAGAATACATGGTCTATTAATAATATAGATACTTTTTTGGTTACATGCACTTTATACTATATAGTTGAAGTAAAATATTGTTTTTGTCTTTATATTAAAGATCAAGATGACGCCTAGTTTGTTGATATATTGACATCTTTTAAACAAGGTTTGGCGACCAATTGACTTAAGACAACTATGATCTTGTGAGGAAAGATACAATATATTCTAATTTAGAAAAAAAAAAAGGAAGAATCGTAACTAGGGCACTATATGTATATATAAGAATCTTATTTTCAACTTGTAACTTTCCGTCATTTAATCGACCAAACCAACCCACTCCGAGTGACTACAAATATATTAAACTCTAAAGAATAGTACTTCATAATTTGTATCTATCTATCTATCTATATTTTCTTTTCACATGGTGAATTAATAAAAAAAAGTTATATATCCACTATAGATAGATAATATTTATCAATTTGCAATCATCAGTGAAGATTTATTAATGATCTTGCCACTACACTTTATTGCAACTTCGAAGTAAAAGTTAATAAAAGATTGTATGATTTTATAGGGAAAAAGAATGTTGTGAAATTTGAAATCTTATCAAAAAGTTTTGGTTTGGATTAGTAGAGCAGAACCATGGACAATAACATATATAGGTTAGAATTAAGTAAAGAACATGCATGGTAAATACTTTTATCAAAGGAAATAAAAAGATGCAATGCCTTTTCAGCTGAAATGTTTGAACGTTAGGTAGCAGAATAGAAAGACTTGTGTTTATCATAATATATGGACCGGAGTGTATAAACAAGGAAACTTAATTCAATGCGTATACCTCATCAAATAAGAAGTTTCTTTGACTTGTTTACTCAATTTCTTACGAAGCACAAGTAAATATCTTCGAGTCAAAGTAATGCGTCCAAAAAGAATACGACACTCGACTGAATCAATCAGCTGTTTCTTCTTTTACAAATAGATTGAGCAGGACTCAGACTCTCACAATCATATAGGGTTTAATCAAACACTTCCAAATTTTTCATATATTGATTCTTTTTATTAGCTTACAACTTATATATATATATATATATATATACATTACTCGATTTCAGTTAAGATGATAACAGCAGTTTAGTCTCCGTCAAGAAAATCTTGCAATTTACATAGTTCTTGTAACGTTCTCATATCATGGATACTATATTAGTTTGTGTTGATGTTGTTACTTTTTTCTTTCTTTTCAGAATGATCAAATCTTTGTTTTTCAAACTTCATGTTCATGAATTGAGCTTAACCCAAAGGCGGTTATGGTTATTGGTGAGTGGCACCCAAACCACATACGTAGCTTAGAACTTTGTTCACATACAACATTACTGATTACTTTATAAAGAAACAAACATTTATATTGATAAGTAGTATTTTTCATCTACGTACACGGTATTCAACTGAAAAATACATTTGCTTCACCTAATGAGTTTTTATCAACAGTATCTACAAGACAAGAGTGGAAGAAAAAGTAACCGCGAAACCTAGCAAAGGAAGAGCTCTTGCGGTAGTGATGTGGGGCAAAGCTTCTTTGCTGCAAACTTGTACTGCCAGGAGAAGAAAAACAGAGTTAATAACACTTCAGTGTTTTGTTTGAAACAGTTCACAATAAAGAAAGAGGAGTGTTTTTTTACGTTGTGTTGACTGTACTTCTTTCTGACTGCAACTACATCAGACGAGGGATTCCCATGACACAGCTGAAGAAGCTCCTTAACGCATGTTTCCATATGTGTAACCTTGTACGATGTGTAATGCTGTAATGTAGCGTTCTGAGAAAACCACCAAATTAACAGAATTTAATGGAACCCAGAGTTGCATAAAGCTAACAAACAACTGAGAACATAGAAATGCAGTGGTCATACCCATGGTTTTCTTGAAGGGTGCAGTATGTATTGTGTTAAGAATACTGCAGAGGCTGCAACGAGTGATGGAGTGTATCGAAGCATAGCGTAATCTAGTAGCGATAATTCGGTGAGATAGCAGGCTAGACACTCGGACAACAGTGATGGTACCTAATCGAAAGCAGCAACCAGTAAGAAACGTATATAACACATCACCCATTGCCAAGACAACTCATCTTTAATTTTCATATAACAGTATACCTCCTTTCTTCCTTGAGCAGCACGAAGAAAGCGCCTAACCACCATTTTTACAAGTTTAAATCAGCAGGGAACCACAAAAAATGATGATTGAAGTCAACATCAATATGAACAGAAGCTACCTCAAGAAACATTTTGCTGTTGGAGTTGTTAATTCGAACTTCAAGTAGTTCAGAACAGAAGACTCCATCTCCAGAAGCTGTTAGAAAGCATAAAGGTTAACTACTTATTATGAGCATATCAAAACTAGAAGAAGAAGAGTTGTTAGTCCAGGGAAGACCACAACACAAACCTCGTTCCTTGAGTATGTGTTATCAGTTATATAACAGAAATCCTCCACTTGAGGCACACACACTTCTTCGTATTTTCTGAAATTCCAGTATGTCTACTGATTAGAAATTGCATACTTCTGAAGACGAAAAAAGGATGAAGTCAAAGAGTAAATATCAAAATTTCTTACGCAGCTATCATCATGCAGGCAACACCAAGTAACTGCAGATTTTGCTTGGTTATTGCATTGCCCGTAAGATACCGATCTACATAGTTCACTGCCAAATACAGTGTCTCGGGCGAAAGCCTATACTCTTCAGCAACCTGTAGTTTTATGAAAATCCAGAGAACATCTTGTAACACAGCATTACCTAACAGTGATAAATCTATCAAACGTTTTGTCTATCACTTAACTTATTGCTTTATCAATCTAACCTAAATATCTTGCCGTAATGAGCCAGGATTCATCAAAAACTTACCTCCACGAGCCAGTCAATCAGTATAGAACGCATGCTAGCATTGATGTTTAGCTGAATTCGTTCCATGTAATCCAGAGCCGGTCTTTTTTCTAACTGCAGAGAAGAATAAGCAAAATTTAAGACGATTTAGAAACAGAATCAAGTCAAATCTGGCAGGGTAAAACTATAGCAATCCTACCTCGGAGACACGCAAATGCTCGTAGATATCACAAGCAAAGGTACCACAGAGCTGTGGATCTATGAAGTTACTATCAATGTTCACAATCTGATCATCATTTCCAAAATCAGTGTTTGATGAATCATCATACTCCGGGAGAGCAGTAGTGTTCTCGACCATGTATTCTACTTTTGGGGTCTCCAAAGAAGATCTTAACTGGTCTGATTGAGTGGGAGAGACATCCAGGGATGATAGAGGTGACGAAGATAGAAGATACTCCTCGATTTGTTGCAATTCTGTGTCTTCGTAAGGAACGATTACGTTAGATTTGGCAATTGACTTGGGAGGTAAACCGCAATCGCGAATTCCCAAATTCCAGTTACGAGATAAAGCAGGCTTTGGTGCTTTCTTCGATTGGCCGATCTTATTCGAACAATGTACCTTCAGAGATTAAACATGCGATTTCAGGAAAACCCCTAAAACTACAATTTCACGACGAACAAACACCGGAGTTGAAAAGTAAAACAAACAAAAAAGAGTATCCAAGGTAACTAACCAGAGTAGACGACGATGATGAAGAAGTTTTCGAGCCAGTCTTATGGTTTGTGATGTCGCCGAGGGGAACACGACGGTTTCCAACATCGCGGAGTGAAGAGGTTCGAGTCTTGGCTAAGTTGGGACGAGGAATCGGATTCCCCTGGGATTGATTCCTTGACGACGACGAGGAAGACATTGTTGACGAAGAAATGGAAAATCTCCGGCTCGGCGTTCTAGCTTCCCGGCGAGATTTTAGGGTTTCTCTTCTCAGTCTTCTGCGAGAGAGAGAGAGAGAGAAGGAGATCTTGGAGGAGAAGAAGAGAAACAACGAAAAATGAAAAACTCGGAAATGATTTTCTCTATTTTCAATTTATTAAAAAAGAAGAAGAAAAAAGGGATCAATCCTGACCGTCAATTGTAGTCAAAACCGTTACGATTTTAGAGTGTTTTGATCAATTGTGGGTCCCATTATAGTTGAGCGCGAAAGTTTTCCCTCTGACAGTGAAGTGAAGAGTCAATCAAGCAAATTAAGAAGAGCATATGGAACCCTCTTTCTTGTTAAGAGGGTTTAGTCATTGATCCTTTAGTTATATGTAAAGATCAAAACACTCAAGTTTTGTTGCTGCGGTTGCTGTGGTTGCTGTTGGTTTAATTAAAATCACTTTTCTCAATAAGTCATGGGAAGCAGAGTATATTGCATATACGGTCTCATTTACTTGCTTTTAAGTTTCTCCTTACAATCCAAAATTTTCTCATATCTTCATCTTATATGACAAGGTGATCTTTGTCGATCCACAAACATACTCGCAGGTAAAATCTGTCTGAGATCTTTGCTGCACTTGTGGAAATCGATTGTTCGGGTTCCCAATAAATGGTAAGTGTATTTATTCTGGGGTAAGAATGATCACACTAGCTTTTTGAACAAAGGTTCAGCATTTCACCTCCTTACTAGTCAATATATATTTTGCAGCATGAAAAAGTTGTGATATATGTTGCACGACGATAGCCTGCATTTACAGTCTGAACAACTTCTCAACCAAATCCCTTGCGTCTTTTGACAAGGTCTTTGAAGCTGATTATATATTGGTTAAGCAAGAGGCTAAGATCTTCCATCAGCAAGCTATGAAACCAGATATGCTAGATCTTTCATTTCATCTTTCATGATCAAATGATGAGAGTGGCCTACAGCTACTACTGGAATACAATTTGTGTTCTTTCCGCAATTCCAGTAATTAAACATACAACCGACTAAGTGGTCATTTGAGGTTTGGTTTCATCTTACGTGACACAAATCATCATCATCATTATGCCTTGCTATATATACAGTTTATAAGCCTAAAACTGGAATCTTTTGCAGACAAGACAAAAAGTGAAGTGGTTAGCCCTTTTGAGTTCATGTAGGGAAAAGGTCATTGATCATTTCAAAGTTTGAAATTTTTTACCCACAAATTGTTTTGGTTTAATTCTCCCTTTCACGTCTAAATCATGGAAGACCGCATGCTGTAACTATTATAGAGCACTTGATATTTCAAATCTGATAGCCCTTTAATTCTGTCGATGTATAAAAAATAAATAGTCAAACACCACATATACATAGGTATCATAATCAAAATTTTATATAGCCAAAGATGAATAAAATATAGACTTCTGACTGACTTTTGAGATTGTCAATAGAATATGTAACCTATATTGGTTTACACTAGTATTGGCCTTGTATTGTGTATTGGGTTATAATCTTGCAACGTGTATCTACGGAATTAAGAAAACAAGTTTTAACATGTAAAAGACTCTTGTGTAGGTTCTTCAAAGTAGCTTATTGGTCTCATGACCTTAATTTGTGTGGTGACCATTGCATAATTGAAAAGTTAAGTAAAATGGTGGGTAGGGACCAATTGAAACCAAGTCAAATTACACAGATAAACTTCTCTAATAATCTCCCTCCCGCCACCCACTCCTATCTTCCTCTAATCTCGCCTCTCATCTCTCTCATTCTCTCTCTCTCTCTTTCTCTCCACTCTCATCATATAAAGACATTATTAAACTCACCCATTCTTAATCCAACTCTAAAGTCATCTATCTCTCTCTCTGTTTTTTGTTTTTATTGTCTCTTCTTGAGAGCTAAAACATACATCAAATGGCCATTGTCGACGTTGATGATTCATTCAAGAGACCGGGAACTGTACCTTTTAGCTGGGAGATCCGACCCGGTGTACCCAAAACCCGAATTTCTCAACCCGGTAACACCACCACTACTCCTTTTCTACACCCTCCGAAGAAGCTATCTCCTCTCAGGTTAAAACCATTGTCTCACTCTCAGCCGCTTTTCCCGCCGGCTTTATCTCCGCCGTCTTCTTCTTTCATCTCCAACTCAAAAAGCCGTCCTTTATCTCCTCTCACTCCTTCTTTTTCCACTACCCCATCGAAGCTCAAGCCACCACCAACACCATCGTCGGCTTCTGTATTCTACTCTCCGGGACCTTCTTTCCGATCATCGCCGCGAGCTTTCTCGGAACGGTGGCAGCTCCAACGCCCTAACCGAATCAGACCCGCATCCGAACACGAAGAAAGTTCCGATTTTTCCGTTGCCGGATTCGGGTGCTTCCCGTCGCCTAAGTTTAGGTTGAGGAAGAATAAGAGCGGTGGTAGTAGTAGTCGGAGAAAAACCCGGTCGAGATCGGAGAATGAATATTACTGCTCTGATATGGAGACGATGTCGCCGTGGACTGTTTCTAGCCGGAGATCAGTTTCTCCGAGATGGGACTCGCCGAAGTCGTCCTTCTCTTCTCTCCGATTTTCGCCACGTATCGCCAACGAAGCTGAATGGGTCGGGTTTGGGTTCTTTTGAACACGCTTTTAAATTCAATGAATGTCTCGAGATCGGCTCTTTAGCCATCCGAACCAAGGAAAAGCTTGAAATGAATCGCTCAAATCAAATTAATGCAAAAATCATGGGCTAAATTAGTTTTTCTAAAAGTTAAGGGTCCTATATCTAATGTCTTTGGAGTTTTCACATCTTTGTAATATAAAATTTGTGGATTGTGGGATGTCTAAAGACAATCCACAATTTTGAAGTTTTGAGTGCGGGGGACGAAATATTGTAACTTTGTAAGATATAAATAGTAAAATGGAATTTTCCCATTTTTCTTATTATTCGAAATCATATTATCTTTGATTCAAATATCGATAAAAACTTTCTAACCAAACATTTTGTTTCTCCAAGCTAATTTTGAACTAGAAAAATAAAATACAACAATTCTTTTAGTATATGTGATGTGACTGGTTGAATCAGTTAATTCAAAAGTATAGAGCCAAATGGAAAAAATTTTAAAAAGTTGGGAGATATTCCTGAGTTTGGTGTAACGAGATTTTGTGTTGACGAAACTCGAGTAGCCAAGTAGGAGAGGAGACCATGAAACCGTCGCAATGCAACCGCATTATTGATCAGCTCATTGCCGCCATGATTCAGAACCGTCCATTCGACGCCCTTCTCGCTTCTTCAACGGTCGCGAATCCATGGTCTCAGCAGCTCGTCTCCGATGTCCTCCGCTCAATCCCCAGATTCTTCTTCATCTCCCCACGATCCATCGGTCGGCAAAAGGGTTTTCGTCACCGGTCACCGTTAAAGCAGAGAAACCTCCGTGAAGAATCACAACGACGCCGTTCCGAAGTCTTAGTTCTAGGTCCCGCCGCATATATGGATCCTAAGAAAGTTTCTCTCGGCTTGCAGAAAGCTATGGAGTTCTTCTTTTGGATTGAGACCCATTTCGGTTTCGATCATAATGAGGTCACTTGCAGAGATATGGCTTGTCTACTGGCTAAAGGCAATGACTTTAAGGGTCTCTGGGATTTTCTCCGGCAAATCTCTAGAAGAGAGAACGGACAAAATGTGGTTACCACAGCGTCTATAACCTGTTTGATGAAATGCCTAGGAGAAGAAGGTTTTGTGAAAGAGGCATTAGCTACCTTTTATAGGATGAAGGAATATCATTGCAAACCTGATGTTTATGCCTACAATACAATAATCAATGCTCTTTGTCGAGTAGGGAATTTCAAAAAAGCTCGATTTCTGTTGGATCAGATGCAATTACCAGGTTTTCGATACCCACCAGACGTCTATACTTATACCATTTTGATAGGCTCCTACTGTAAATATGGACTGCAGACCGGGTGCAGAAAAGCGATAAGGAGGAGGATGTGGGAAGCTAATCGAATGTTTAGGGAAATGCTCTTCAGAGGGTTTGTACCTGATGTGGTGACTTACAATTGCTTGATCGATGGATGTTGCAAAACGAATCGCATTGCCCGGGCTTTGGAGCTGTTTGAAGATATGAATAAGAGAGGATGTGTCCCGAACCAGGTGACTTATAATTCTTTTATAAGGTATTATAGTGTTACCAATGAGATAGAACATGCAATCGAGATGATGAGGACAATGAAGAAGATGGGTCACGGTGTACCTGGTGCAAGCACGTACACGCCTCTAATACATGCTCTTGTTGAGACCAGGAGAGTAGCCGAGGCTCGAGATTTGGTGGTGGAGATGTTAGAGGCCGGGTGGATTCCAAGAGAGTATACTTACAAGTTGGTGTTGGATGCTCTGTCCTCAGAAGGAATGGTGGGAACACTTGATGAAGAGCTGCATAAGAGAATGAGAGAAGGAATAGAACAGAGATATAGAAGAGTCATGAGGATCAAACCGATCATGGCTCGAAAAGAGATTGTCTGAAAACCGGATTTTCACGAGATTTGACATTTATGAGAATTCTGCTATGGAGGAAATCTGACAGATGGAATAATTCCTGCTCAAGTTTTCAGACAGTTTGATTGAAACAGTAGGTATAGACTTAGTTTAAGCCGGAGGCACCGGAAGATCTAACCGGTTAACTGACTAAATGGAGGCTGATTGCACCGATTTAAGAGCTATTCAGATGTTTCCTATGTAACTCAAACATTGTATTGCGCTTTTGTAATATGTCATTAATACGTTTGTTATTTGTTCACAATAAGAAAGAGAAAGAGAGGAAAAAACATAAAAGAAATCCATACTAAAGAATTGGACTCTCATGAGCATTGAGCATGAACCAGCAGGGATTTAACAGCGTGTGGACATGAATCAACTCCAAATGTTTTGCTCCAAACTGATACAGAACACTTGCTCTTGTTCAGACAAGCCTACATATATTCACAAAAAAAAAAACCTTCTTGGAGCTTTTATGATTTCAGTAAGAAGGCAGAATTCACAAGGACAATAGTAGCTACCTTATGTATAACAGCCAAAGATTTGGGTGAGTGACAGCTTCCAACAGAATAGCTCCAACAATTTCCATTTGGAGTACCAAAGCTTGCAAACAATACCTTCGAAATTTTTCTGCCATTAGGACACTGGAGCTGAACCTTAGGCCTCCTATCATACTGGTGGTTTAGATGTCTGCGTTTGTTTCGGTTGTGGCCTTTTCTTCTCTGAGAAATCACAGGAGGAGGATGTGAACTGGAGACATGGCTACAGACATTGGTGACTGATACTGTGTCTATAGTTATACCAAGAGGATTCCCTTCTCTTTCTTCTTCCAAAATGACTAGTAAGTTACTACTATTGCGTTTAAGAAAAGATCGCGGTATATGGTACCTAAAGAGAGAAGAACATAGCTTCAAAGGATAACATTTAATACATATACCAAAAGTTTTCGAAGGGAGAGTGGACAGATAGCCTACCATATCTGAGAAGGGTTCCCTTTGTAAGTATGAAAGGAGACCCAGTACCGACCAATACTCTGGCCATTCACCCATGCTTCTCCTTTTCCCATTGATCCTAAGTTCAAGGCTACAGAATCTGTCCCCTCTGGTGTGTCAAATGAGGCCTATATATATAACATATCTCAGAGATTGAAGTTTTGAGTAATATATTAAACTAGTACTATAATTTGTTATTCTACCTTGTACCAAGTTAGAGGCTGACTTTTGGAGTCTCTGTACTGCTTCCACTGAACTTTAGCGGCCCCATTTTCTGTGTAAGCATGGAATTTTTCCCCTTGCAGCCCAACCTGCACAAACGATTTTGAGCCAGTATCAGTTAACATGAAGGAAATAACTTCTCTTGAAGAATAAAACTCAGAAGTTTTTACCTGATATCCCCAACTATAGTTGTTGAAGTACAGTGTATGTTTTCCATTCCAAATCTTTGCGCCCCGTGTTCCAACTACTCTCCTTTCTAGATGTGCTCCTGAATTCTGTGTTCAAAAGAGAAACGCCGTCAGAAAATATGTATTCCAGATGATTTTTTTATATTTACTACAGATACTGATGGAGAAGTACTTCTGTTTAGAGCAAATATTGAAGAGTTACAGAAGAGAAAATTGGGGCTCACCGGTAACCCTACCATTACGCTGAGTAATGCGATGTTATTTGTGCCATTATTCAATGACACATTTTTCTCAAGCAAAAATCTATGCGCTTTGAAAGTTCCGTGCATTGAACCTAAAGAGGACTCAAAAATAGAAGCATTTAACTTTGATGATGCCAAAAACCTTTTAAGTTTTAATCTTTAGTAGAATATAAGGTAAAAATGGCATACCTATGAATCTCCCATTAACAAAGGCATGTAGAACATGTCCCAGATGATTGACTTTTAGAACTGATAGAGCTTCTTCAGGTTGGTGAAACCTTTATTGCAAAAGAAACATTATAAGTTTATAACTTACACAATATCCAACACATTCTTACGGTATATTATTGGTTTTACCTAGTTGTTTGCCACAGATAGTCGGAAGTATCCTGTGTTGTGTTCATGTGCTCAAGAAAGAATTCTGATCTTACTGACGTTTCGCTAAAACTTGGGATAGTTTCTGTAAATTCCTCCCACATGTGAGGAGAAGACAAATTTTGTCTAGGTTCCCTTGTTCTCGTGTTGTATTGCGCATTGACCTATCCACACCACGAAATACAGATGAATGCATCAGCATCACAAGAAATTTGCATGTATGATAGTATTGACGTATCAGCTTACCTTGGCAGTGTTGAAGGCTACATTCTTGCAGTCTGGCAGGACACTTATAGATTTTGGAGACAAAATATATGAAGAATTATGAAACTGTACAGTAGAATCGCATTTGTCTTGATTCACAAGTAAGGCAGAGCATAGATTCGCCTTCTTCCCAAACACAAAAGCCTGTAGATAAGAAATAAATATCACTATTACAACATTCTTCATGATATCAAATAGGAGAAGATACTGTTAGAATATACTTACAGTTAGTAGCTTCCCCAATGGTATCGTAGTTTGCAGTCCAGAGAGTAGGGGCTCTTCACACAACTTAACTGCAGCATGTAATTCCTTAAGGTGTCCCCATTTTGGTTGCCTAAGTAATCCTGCAGCAACAACCATTTGTGTTATAATTTCAGATCAACCTCTGATTTTAGGTGTGAATGGTTTGAAATGTTACCATATTCATCAAGTGGAGCCTGATCATAATAACTGGTGATTACGAACTGTGAAGCGTTTCTCCCGAAGTTTGTTCCTCCATGATACTAGAATAAGATATAGTGTGAAATCATCAATAGTCTTGCTTCTTTTGTACATAACAGATTTTGTATATTAAAAACAAGAAGAGAGAGTGAGACAGGAAAAAGTACCATGTAGTAGTTAACAAAACTTCCATTCCTAGCTATGAATAGAGCGACTTGAAATGCTATATCCTCAGCTGACCTCATCAATGGTTCCTCACCATATGTTTGATAACTATACAAAGGGAGCAGCTGAAAGTTAATTTTATATCTGGGGACTGGAAAATAAACATCAATGTAGTGAATAATGGAGATCATACAAACTCGTCCAGTTCTCAGTCCATATTGCAGGTTTGTTTAGTGAATTGGGTCCTTTGAATGTTTCCCCACATTGCCTCCCATTGCAAGCATTAATCTGATGCATCGTAGAAACCATAAGATAGGTAAAATTGCAGATAAGCCACAATGCAGAACAAACGTATATATTAAACTAACCACAGGGTCAGGGGCATCGTCTTGCTTGCACATGACCCATGGCACTCCTGTCTCAAGCTCCACAGCCATTTCTGCTGCCCATTTGACATATGATTTCCCTTCTTGTCGAAAAGCTCTAGCTACCATCCCATACTCGTTCTCAATCTGTTTTGCACATAACTTTGAGATCACAGGAAAACAACTTCGAAGGAAGCATAAACGAAAAAAGTAAAGACAAAAATGGTAAACCTGTGAGAGTATGATAGGTCCTCCTTGGGAAGCATACAACTTTTCCGATTTCATCAGCTTAACAATCATTTGTGCATATCTCTTCATGTGAAACTGCAAATAAAAAAGTATCTTCTTTAAAACCATAAATAGTATAGAAGCCATTTGAGTTCAGTAAAATATTATATACCTTGAATGGCTCATTATCTGTCCTAAAGACAATCCCTTTGACATTGTGTAACCAGAAAGGCAAACCCCTGCAAATATGTATTGGAAAGCCTAAAATTCCACGAAACTTGATTTTCGCTTATCAAATATATGAACGAACTAATGGCCAAAAAGAGATTACCCATAAGACCATTCACCCTGGATGAAAGGTCCAATCCGAAGACAGACATATAAGCCTTGCGCATGTACATACTTGATGAACTTCACGATATCCCGTCGTCCACTGAAATCGAACTGCAGATCACAAAGTACATCAATCGCATAAAACCTACATTACATTAAGTCTAATTAGTATATGGTGTAAAGAGAGGAGAGACTAACATGTCCTTGTTGCGGCTCGTGAATGTTCCAGAACACGTAAGTGTCTATTACATCTAATCCTCCTGATTTTGCCTTCGCTATCAAAGACGGCCACATCTGCAAGTTCAACGACTTCCATTAATATTTGCTGAAGAAGAAGTAGAAGAAGATGAAGAGATCCCGCCATATCATTAAGGCATACAAGAGTTAATTCAGAATGTTTGGGGTCAAATAAGAATACATAGGAAAATAAGAGCACTTAATCTCGAAAATTCCAAAAAGTTGTAAACGGCCTAGTCGAGATAAATTGGAAAAGACGATCATATCCTCTTTCTCTCTACTCTAACGGGCTCACGTATTTCGTCTTCGAAACCTGCCGCCGACTTATTAGTGTGCTAATTCACGTGACTGAGCGGCGCGATTTCGTCGAGAAAGTGAATATTTTAAACTCCGATGACGCTTAAAATCCTCCATTAACGGATAGAAGAAGAAGAGTAAGTTGGAGACGGCGAGAGAATTACCTGGGGAGTGCTGCGAGTATAATGGATTGAGCCGGAGAATAGGATCTTATGTTTGCCGTCGATGATCAGCGATCGCCCGTCGTAGGTTACGTTTGCGGCGTCTCCGGCTACTATAACCGCCGTGATGAGAATGAACAAAGCTTGCGAGTACTGAGAAGTCGTCGTCATTTTTTATGTAAACACTGACGTTTGATGATTCTAGCTAGAGAGAGTTTTATAGTTCAGCGTGATACTTTGCATCAGTTGTGATGTATATATTTCACCATCGTTTTCCTTTTTTATTTATGCGGAACCATAATTTCCTTTTTCTTTTTACGACAATTTCCTTTTTTTTTAATATCATGACAGTTTAAATCGTAAGATAATCAATATTCGATGTGTCCTCTGAAAGCCCAATAGTGGTGAAGCCCATTAATAAATCGGTTAAAATTGATTTGACTGGTTCTATGTCACGGTCAAACCGGTTGGCGTCGATCAATCATTATAATCTAGATGTTGAATGAAGACGACTGAACTGAAGAGTCGCCGTCGACAATGTGTCTAACCGCACGTGTTGCACGTGAGAAATTTCCCGCACAAAATTTTACTCTTTTCGTCTTCTTCCCAAATCTGGGATTCTTGGATTTGGAAATTTGCTGAATCCATGGATCGTGTTTTAATTTCCCGTTTTGGTATTCCCTCTACTCTCTCCCCTTTCCAGTACCGACGTAAGAGTTTCCCGACCGTCACTCGACGACTGGCGCCGGCCATTGTTTGCTCCAAACGATCTCCGATCGAGGGAGTGAGTGACGAGCTGAATCTGATCGCGTCGCAGAACTTAGATCAAGCTCCCGCACGAAGACAAGTCCGTTCCGCTTTTGTTGACTTGCAGCTTCAGCTCGATCACTGCTTGTTCAAGGTTGCATTGACTCTTATAGCAAAAAATTTTAACATAATCTCCTTTCTAATCAATCTGAATCTGGTGACAGGAAGCTCCGATTGGGATCAGAACACAGGAGGTAAGCAGTGGTTTTTGTTTATATGTAGCTCTGTGCTTGTCCGTTCATAGGAGTTACATAGTTAAATCTTCGTTGGTGTATAAATGATAGTGGTATGAGAGAAATTGGAAAGGGGAAGAAGTTTTCTGCAAGAGTTGGTTGCCCAAATCCGGTGACGAAATCAAAGCTGCGGTGTATTTCTGTCATGGCTATGGAAGCACTTGCACTTTTTTCTTCGATGGTTCGTTTCATATTTCTACTTACATCATTTTACTCGAAAGGCTCTTCTTTTATTATAAGAATTTTATGGTTTCTTTCACAGGTATAGCAAAGCAAATAGCAGGTTCTGGCTATGGAGTTTATGCGGTAGACCATCCTGGCTTTGGCCTCTCAGATGGTTTACATGGTCACATTCCAAGTTTTGATGACTTAGCTGAAAATGTTATTGAACAGTTCACTAAAATGAAAGGTATCCTGATTTGTACCTGTTATTGCTCTTGTGTCGAATCTTGCTCTTTTGGTTTTACTTAAGTTTGTTTGATTCCTAGGGAGACCTGAATTGAAAAACTTGCCCCGATTCCTGCTTGGACAGTCAATGGGAGGAGCTCTTGCCTTGAAAGTTCATCTGAAAGAACCTCGAGCTTGGGACGGTCTTATCCTTGTTGCTCCAATGTGTAAGGTAAATCAATCCCTGACAAAACTTCTTGAAGTAATTATTGCATTTTCTAGGATGTAATCTAGGTCTGGAGATCTGTAAATCAAAATCAAATCAACAAATAGAGAGTTCTAGAGTATTTTTATTCACATATTGCATCTAATTAGTTTATGTTTGAGAGGCCTGACCTTGAGTTACCTCAAGATTTCAGAAGATGTAAAACCTCCTTCGCTAGTCTTGAAGGCATTAATCTTTATGTCGACACTATTTCCCAAAGCAAAGCTCTTTCCAAAGCAAGACTTGAGCGAGCTCTTCTTCAGAGACCCTAGTAAAAGAAAATTGGTATTTCTCTTAGTTTTTCAATGGAACACACTTTCTGAAGCTATTTTGCTGACTTCCTCTTTAATATTTCTTTTCTCTGTGGATCAAGTGCGAGTACGATGTGATTTGCTACGATGATCAAACGCGTTTGAAAACCGGTGTTGAGCTACTAAATGCCACAACAGACATTGAGATGCAAGTTGACAAGGTTAGTTGTGGAACCAAAGAAATGAAGTAAAGCTCTTATCATAGACAGGCGCATCTTTAATAACTTGCGTCTTTTTTCTATGTGGCAGGTCTCGTTGCCACTGTTGATACTTCATGGAGACGCTGACAAAGTCACAGATCCCACTGTGAGCAAATTCCTTCATGATCATGCAATCAGCCATGACAAGACTCTAAAACTCTATCCAGGTGGCTACCATTGCATTCTAGAAGGTGATACAGACGAAAATATTTACACCGTAATCAACGACATAGTTGCTTGGCTCGATGCCCGCGTTGCTCCCAAGTAAAGTGAGATAATTATATCTCCACAATCCAATATTTATAAATGTCTTTTGAAAACTGTAGAGCCGCTGCGATTAATAACATGCGGACAAAAAATAAAAAAATCTATGGCTTACAGTGTACACATAACCTTGGCCATTTCTTGCTTAGCTAGTGCCTCTAGTGCTACATAAGACGCATCTATTAAACTGTAGCTAATAGCCTGTGAACGACCCCTGGTGAATTGTAGACCGAGCCATCATTCCTACACTGTGAGCAGATCGTTGGAACCTTCATTGTCCAAATAAGAAGGGTTCGAGGATTTTGCACTTAGAAAAATAAAAAGACAGTGAACATATACTGTATATGCGAAAGTTAATAAGTATTTTGAAAGCCCTGTAATACGAGGCCCACTTATAAGATAAACAAAAACAAAAAAAAAAAAGCAAAAAAAGATTTCTCTAGATTTTTGTCCAAGACACCGTCGACTTTACTAGTTAGCTCCTTCCTTGCTCAGATTTCTTCTCCGTTAGGAAAACTCCCAAAGTTTCACTCTGTAAACCCTAAATCTTCCGATGTCGGTAAGTGTTCCCTTTGAATTTGGAATTGTTTTTGCGCAACGATTGATTTGTACGATTTGAACGATGGATTGATGGACATTGGGGTGATGCAGATCTTCGAGTACAATGGTAGTGCCGTCGTAGCTATGGTGGGGAAGAACTGTTTCGCTATAGCTAGTGATCGAAGGCTTGGTGTGCAACTACAGACCATAGCCACCGATTTTCAGAGAATCTCCAAGATCCACGATCATCTCTTCATCGGACTTTCTGGTCTCGCCACCGATGTCCAGACATTGTAAATTCTCGTCACTATTCCATTCTCATATGTATACTCTTCATCATCATTCCAGAATTTTAGGTGAATTACAAAATTTAGGGCTTCGTTTTTTTGTTTGTCTTTGGGACTGTTGAAGGTACCAGCGACTTGTATTTCGACATAAGCTATATCAGCTTAGGGAAGAAAGAGACATGAAGCCAGAAACTTTCGCTAGTCTTGTATCTGCCATTCTTTATGAGAAAAGGTATGTGAAAATTCTTCTCCCATTGTGGCTAGTTCCTGGTTAACCTTAATAAAGCTGATTCCTTTTAACTTCTTCATTCAGATTTGGCCCGTACTTGTGCCAACCTGTGATTGCTGGATTAGGAGACGATAACAAACCCTTCATTTGCACTATGGACTCTATTGGAGCCAAGTATGCTCACTTCCTTTCTTTTCTGGGGCTCCCATTATATGTAAATATCATTTTTTTAATTTGGTTAGTCAGTGAGTGTAATCCTGAAACTTGCTAGGTGAGCTAGAAGAATCGTGAATTAGTATTTTGGTTTTAGTTGGAATATTGTTCTGGTTGTTTGTCATCCAATGCAGTGTATGTATGTCATCTGAGTCGACTTATTTTACATGTGTTGAGCTGTTTCAAATATGAGTTCTACTATAGTTGAGATTTTACTGAACATGATAGCTGCAAAGGCGAGCATGTCTTGACACTGGTTCTCTCTAAATGCAGGGAATTAGCTAAAGATTTTGTTGTCTCTGGAACTGCTTCAGAATCGCTATATGGTGCCTGTGAAGCCATGTTCAAACCAGATATGGTATGTCCTTTATTAAAACTTAATTTTTACTACCCGTTCACTGGAAACCCAAATACTTATTGCTAAGATCAGCGTAAAACCTCCTTCATATGTAAAAATTATACTGTAGAATCTAGATTTGGTGGGAATATTTGTGGGCGTAATGCTAGACTTGCTAGTTATAGGCCAGAACCTTGATATTTCTCCCGGACATCTTTGTTTGCATTAGATAAGTGGTGTTTCAAAGCTCACTCATGTTTTAGTTAGATTGCTCCGACTTCCCTGCTATAATTATATTCAAATAAAGTTTTTGAAATTCGAGGACATCATTCGAAGAAGTACATTGTAGCATACTTAAGTCCACAAATGTGATTTTCAGGAAGCTGAAGAATTGTTTGAGACAATTTCACAAGCACTTCTCTCTTCAGTTGATCGTGATTGTCTTAGTGGGTGGGGAGGACATGTCTACGTTGTGTAAGTTTTGTTCTCCTGTCGTCTTCTTGTTTTCACATCTTTCGTCATCTACACTTGCTTCTAGGGAATAGTAACATACTTTTATGGTGATGTTATCCAGAACACCAAATGAAATCAAGGAGAGAATTCTCAAGGGAAGGATGGATTGATCTGAAATTACATATCTGCCTTTGTCATCCTAAGTTCAGTTTACCCCTTTATTCAGTTCAGTAGAAGAACCCTCTCGTCTCATAGTCACTGTTAGTTCTCTGATATTGTGGGTTCCTTCTTTTGGATGTTTTTATTTACATGGATAGAGTTTGAAAAAAATGATGAATAGCACTTGTCGTCTTGTTCCAATACTCAGAACATTCAATGTACCTTATTGTTGCTGGTTTGAATGAGTACCAAGTTTTCCAGATCTATGGTTTGTCGCCGTCTTTAATTTTGATGGTTGGTGATAATTCGCATCTCATGACTCAAATCATGTTCGTTATGTATAGTCGCTGATACATTTCCGACAAGAAATTTGGGTTCTTTTGAAAAAATAACATAAGACTTTTTGTTGCTAAACGTTTTCGATTAAAATGTCACCAAAACTACCAATTAAAACATGATTTGGTTAGTAAACATGGTTTGGTTGGCACTAGCTAGCTAGTATCATTATCATATCTGTTTTATGCTTTTTTCTCAAATTTTGAAAAAAGTATAGATCATGTTATCAAATCCCAAATGGTAGGATAACGTTACACGTGCTTTGTTGTTTAATAGGGTGGATTAACAAAATAACAAGTACCCGTAGTTATCGAAATCTTTTGGTAACCCAGCAAGTCAGCAACTACAAATAAACATCAAAATATGTGGCGGAAGAATATTTGTTTGTTAATCATTTGCGACGGCAAAAAAAAAAAAAAGAAAGGATTCATTAACACAGATGTTATGTTTATGGAGTTAGATTGAGCCAGAGCGGCTAAATTCGCATGGCAAACGCGTGAATATTATATATAGATAGGCATTTTGGTGATATCACAGCAAGCACGTACGTGGCATGTGCATTAGTTCTGGTCATTACACGAATATAAGTAAAAATCCTGCCGACCTGATTTCTCTCGGTGGGTGTTCAGGTTTGGGTGTGTTCCGGCAAATCATTACCGATGCTCGTAAAAATTCATGCATATAATCATTTAATTATAATTCGATAGCACCATCCACATCATGTCACGTGTCTACTTCTTGGGGTCACTTTTTGAGCTTTTCATCAAATTCAACCCACCAAAATTAAAAAGCGGCAGAGCATACACGGCGGCTCTCCACTTGGCAAAGACCCAAGCGTTTATCTATTAGGTGGCACAGACTGATCTAGATATGACGTTATCTTCTGGTCGTAGACGACATTAGAGAAAAATGACAAGGGATACTAAGTGGCATTAGCATAAGTTGATAACATATGATCGAGATGTTAACAGCTGTCTGCGATTCTTGTTTTAGATGCATTTAGTGTACGCTAAAAACCTCGACCTATTATTGCTTGGTTATAAAAGAAAGATACTTAACTTATCTCGAACTTGAGTTTAAAATGCAACGTCTTATGTTTGTTTGTAAAAGTAAATATTATATATAGACGATAGTAGTGTTACGCTTTAAATTCCACTAGCTAGTGGAATATATTTGCAGACAATTGATACACCAAAAATTTATGAAAAGCAAGGACTTTTGTATGGAACTATCGATCTCAAATGGATTAAGAGAATCCTTACCTTTTTTATTACGGCTGATAGAATGAATGTATACTAAAAGTGTTATCAGGAAACGTCATCGAGAGAGAAGACATATCCAAAAATACTCAGATTTCTTATTAATGAATCAAAAAGTTTGTTACAGATCTTTATCCTATACAATCTCATCTAAACCGGAAATAACCGGATTGTTAATTACTACAATAAACCAGACATTCCAGAGCCTTTTAATCCTATACAAAGCTACTCTACAATATACATGTTAATAGCCCCCTTCAAGATGGAAGTGCAAAGATGTTGTACATTCCCATCTTGGAAATAAGCTCCTGGAAATGAGCTGGATGCAATGGCTTAGTAAGCATATCTGCTAGTTGAGATCCTGTTTTGACATACATTGTCTTGAGAAATCCCGAATCTATCTCCTCTCTGATTTTGTAACAATCCAAATCCACATGCTTTGTTCTCTCATGAAATACAGAATTATTAGCAATGTGGAGAGCTGCTGTATTATCACAATAAAGATAAGCAGGAGGAGTAAAGGGAACCTTCAAGTCAATCATAAGACGAGATAACCAGATTAGCTCCTTAGTTGCTAATGCCATGGCTCTGAATTCTGATTCTGCAGAACTCTGGGAAACAATATCTTGTTTCTTGGATTTCCAAGATAATAAAGAATCACCAATGTACATGCAATAACCTGTAACTGATTTTCTATCATCTGTACAAGTACCTCAGTCTGCATCAGAGAATCCTCTCAAATCAAATTTGTTATCTGCAGGATAGAAAACACCTTGCCCCACTGTACCTTTCAAATATCTCAAGACCTGATGAACAGCCTGTAAATGTGTATCTCGAGGAGCATGAGAATATTGGCACAGTTTATTTACTGCAAAAGCAATATCCGGACGAGTGATATGCAGATACATAAGCTTTCCCACAAGCTTTCTATATCGAGTTGAATCAGGAAGAAGAGTGCCTTTATCTTTTGTGAGTTTAATATCTGGATCTATGGGGATGGAAGCCGGTTTACAGCCAAGAAATCCAGTAGTAGATAACAACTCCAAAACATACTTCCTTTGACATAGGGTAATGCCTTCAGCTGACCTAGCAATTTCTATCCCAAGAAAATACTTTGCTGGTCCTAAATCCCTCAACTTGAAATAAGAAGCCAACTCTTCTTTGAAAACAGTCATTGCACTATCATTATTACTGACTATCAAGATATCATCCACATACACCAAAATTCCAAGAATAATGCCATCTTGATATCTGATGAACAATGTGTGCTCAGCAACAGACTTTGCAAAACCCATTTTACATAATGTGGCTGAAAGCTTAAGAAACCATTGCCTAGAACCTTGTTTTAAACCATAAATGGATTTATGCAACTTGCAAACAGCACCTGGGATCATTTTCTCACCAATCAGATCAGCATATCCGGGAGGTATTTTCATGTAGATCTCTTCATCCAAATCTCCATTCAAGAAAGCATTAGAGATATCAATTTGACTCACTGACCAATTCATCTTGGCTGCTAGCATAAACATCAATCTAACAGATGCCAACTTAGCTACAGGGGAGAAGGTCTCTTCATAATCTAAACCCTCCTCTTGTGTGTACCCTTTTGCAACCAATCTGGCCTTGTATCTCTCTATACTTCCATCAGCATGATATTTGATTGTAAATACCCATTTACAACCAATAGCCTTCTTATTTGGTGGTAAAGTATCAACAGTCCAAGTCTGAGTCCGTAGCATAGCACCAACCTCCGCTTTCATTGCATCACACCACTCATCATAATCCTTAGCTTCTGAATATCTTTGTGGGATATGGTCATTTGTAATGATGTTTATGAAAGCACGAAAAGGCTCAGAGATATAGGAATAAGAGACATAATCGGATATAGGATACTTGATATTACTAGTAAAATTATAGCAATGAAAGTCCTGCAAGTGTTTTGGGGGTTTCTTTGTTCTGCGAGAATGTGATTCAGAAGGAATGACAATCTCAGAAGATATCACATCAGAATGAGGATGTGTATCAGAAGATGTTTGCAAAGGCAAGACATCGGGAATCGCAGGTGAAGAAAGATGAGGAAAGAAAGTCTTAGTATCATCTTTGATAGTAGATGAAACAAAAGGGAAAATTTCCTCATGAAATATGACATGTCTAGAAACAGTAACAGCATGTGTCTCCATATCTAATAGCTTGTACCCCTTATAACCAGTAGGATAGCCTAGAAAAATGCAAGCCTTAGCCCTAGGTTCAAATTTATTCCTATGCTTAGGAGAAGTAGAACTATAACACAAGCAACCAAAACTCTTTAAAGAAGTATACTCAGGTGCTGTACTAGTCAATTTCTCAAAAGGAGACTTATTTTCTAACACTGGTGTAGGAAGTCTATTGATTAAGAAAACAGCTGTTAAAACACAATCTCCCCAAAACTCTAAAGGAACATTAGACTGAAATAAAAGGGCTCTAGCTACATTCAAAATGTGCTGATGCTTTCTTTCTACCACAGAGTTTTGTTCAGGAGTTTCAGGACAAGAATGATATGATATAATGCTTTTTTCAGAAAATAATGCAGTGAATTTTAATTCATGAGCATTATCTGATCGAACAGATTTTACTTTTGTTTTATATTGATTTTCAACCATGTTGATAAAACTAGGAAACACATGCAATACATCAGATTTGAGTTTCAAAAGATAAATCCATGTTGCACGACTATAATCATCAACAATAGTCAAAAAATATTTGAAACCATCTGTTGTTTCTACAGAGAATGGACCCCATGTATCTATATGAACTAATTCAAAAGGTGCAGTACACATGTTCTGTCGAGATTTAAAAGGTAAATGTTTCTGTTTTGATAAATGACACACATGACAAACAGATAACTTTTCTTTATTTCCTTTTATTTGTTTTAAACTCAATACATCAGAAAGTAAATCTATTTTAGACTGAGATGGATGACCAAGCCTTCTATGCCATGTAATTGGATCAACAACGACACTAGAACAAACAGAGACACTATTAAGTGGTAATGCAGTACCTTTTAAAGAAACAGAACGAGTAGACTCATCGAAATGCAAGACATATAAATTTCCAATTTCAATCCCTTTTCCAATCATCAACTCCTGTGTAAGATCCTGAATAAAGCATTCATCAGATGTAAAACTCACTTTAGTTTTCAATGTCTTTGTTAAAACACTAACACTGATCAAATTGAATTTAAACTCAGGGATATAAAGCACATTATGTAGAAAGATAGCATCAGTCAATTTGATAAATCCTATGCCCACTATCCTAACTGTGTAACCATTAGGTAAAGTGACAAAGGTTTTATCTAAGGGTCTAAATTCTACATAAAGGCTTCTATTGTGAGTAACATGATGAGTAGCCCCTGAATCTATAACCCAAGCTCTAGGAGACACTGCTGGTTCCTTAGATATAGAAGAAATTAGCATGTCATAATAGGCATTTGAGTATAGTGACATGAAAGTACCTGAAATCTGTGAGATTACAGGAACAGAAGATGAAGTCGAAGCAGAAGGATTAGTAGATGTGTGAGGTGAGGCAGTAGTAGTGTGAAGCTTGGAACTAAGATACGAAATCACTGTCTGAATCTGATCTGTAGACATTTCATCACAAGAATACTCCATATTCTCTTTCTGGTCAAGAGAAGATTGGCATTGTGTTGCAGCAAGGTTTGTAGTTCCTATGATCTGAGGTTTCTTCCATTTTGAAGTAAATCCAGGTGGATAACCATGTAACTTGTAACACTTATCTGCAGTATGACCAATCTTGTGACAATGAGAACATTTCGGTTTCTGTGAACCATTATGAGCCAAGAACACTTGAGCTTGATCAGGAGTAGTAGTTGTCTGGACTTGATAAGCAGCTGGATTAGTGAACATTTGTGGTGTAGAGAGGCCACCTGTTCTCTGCCCTTCATCTTGGTCCAACATATTATACATCTCTGTCAAACTTGGTCTTGGTTTCATATTAAGAATATGTCCTCTGATATTTGCAAAGTTGTCATTCAGCCCCATAAGAAACTGAATTATCTTGCTTGTTTCAGCTTCTTCCATCAACTCCTTGACATGATCACAGTTACACTTCTTCACAGTAGTCAGTCTAGTGTTTGCCAGCTGCTCCCATAACGTCTTCTTCTTGGTATAATAAGCTGACAACGCAAGATTGCCCTGTTTAAGTGAACTAATGGCCTGCTCAAGTTGATATTTCCTTGGAAGATTATTGACTCTAAACCTCAGAAATAAGTCATTCCACATCTCAACAGCATCATCATAGTATAAGATACTATCATATATCTCCTTACTCACAACATTCAATATCCAGGCCTTAACCATACTGTTACATCTACTCCAAATCTTGAACATCTGACTATCAATCGCTGGTCTAGGAAGTGAACCGTCCACAAAACTAAGCTTATTCTTAGCATCAAGACTCATTCGCATAGCTATTAACCAGTTGTTGTAGTTGGATCCGTCAAGAATATGAGAAACGATAGACAGACCTGGGTGATCTGATGCGTGAAGGAAGAATGGACTGTGAGCGTTGTTGTATGACTCAAATTCATCAGATATTGTGTTGGATTTGTTGCGGAGCGCCGTAAACCTCGGATTCAGAGTCAAAGCGATGTCATCGTCCGCTGGAAATGAAGAACCAGCTCGAGTCTTCATCGGTGAAAAATCTGAAACCGGAGAGGTGTTACGAGGAAGCGTCTTCTTCTTCTGTTTCACCATTGGAGAAGATCGAAGCGCAAATGTGCAAGATAGATGAAATCAGAAGCTGGGAATATGAATCTCCTCCGCTTGAGCTCAAATTTTGCACAGATTTGGAATCGATACAACGAGAGATGAAGAAATTGAGAAGAGAATGAAGAATTGAACAAGAAATCAGAGATCAAACGAGCTAAGAAAAATGCTCTGATACCATATCAGGAAACGTCATCGAGAGAGAAGACATATCCAAAAATACTCAGATTTCTTATTAATGAATCAAAGAGTTTGTTACAGATCTTTATCCTATACAATCTCATCTAAACCGGAAATAACCGGATTGTTAATTACTATAATAAACCAGACATTTCAGAGCCTTTTAATCCTATACAAAGCTACTCTACAATATACATGTTAATAAGTGTCGCTTTATTTTATTTTTAAATGATCGTTTTATTTTATAAATTATAAACTACAAAAAAATTAATAAATAAGATCGAAAAGAACAAATTTAAGCCTTGAAAATCTCATGAAAAATCAGTGAGAGATATGCATACGGTCAACGTTGGGTCTCATTTGGGAAAGTACACGCGTGAGAAGGAACGTGTCGATTCTTATCGCTCTTTCCCAAAATTGACAAGCCTTCAGACCGCTACATTCCAAATAGTCTGACGTAAGCAATGACAAAACTTGCCTACATTACCGTTCGCCACGTGTCCTCTTTACAATCTCCACTATAGCATTTTCAACATTTTTTTCCCCTAATTTTGTTGAGATTCCCATTCCAACAACACATTGCCCCTTTCCAGCCGCCACGTGTCCACGTCACTCGTCTTATATAGTCGTCTCTCATCTTTTGCTTTAGAAGTTTCAAACATCTTCATAATTCTTTCTTTGCTATAAACAAGGAACAATATTAGAGGGGGAGGAATAAACGTGAATTATGATGAGAGTTGGGGCTGATTTGCAATTTCCACCTGGATTTAGATTTCATCCGACGGATGAAGAGCTCGTACTCATGTATCTCTGCCGAAAATGTGCGTCGCAGCCGATCCCTGCACCGATCATCACCGAACTCGATTTGTACAGATATGATCCTTGGGACCTTCCCGGTACGTTTTCTTTTCCATTTCTCTCCCCCACACACACTACAATAACCGGTTTAAGAATTAACAAACCGAATTTCAAATTTAACAGACATGGCTTTGTACGGTGAAAAGGAGTGGTATTTTTTCTCACCCAGAGATCGGAAGTACCCAAACGGCTCAAGACCGAACCGTGCAGCTGGTACTGGCTACTGGAAAGCTACCGGTGCTGATAAACCGATAGGTCGTCCTAAACCGGTTGGTATTAAGAAGGCTCTAGTGTTCTACTCCGGAAAACCTCCAAATGGGGAGAAAACCAACTGGATTATGCACGAATACCGGCTAGCCGACGTTGACCGGTCGGTTCGCAAGAAAAACAGTTTAAGAGTGAGTGAATTTATTCGGCTAGCTGACGTCGAACCGGGTATTGCTACTAACCGGACGTGTTTTTGTTTTTGTTTTTGTTTTTGATACTTGTTCTGATCATTCAGCTGGACGATTGGGTATTGTGTCGTATATATAACAAGAAAGGTGTAATCGAGAAGCGACGGAGCGAGAACGAGTTGAATATGGTGAATGACACGTGTCCACCGGATTCTTTGGCGAGATTGGTCGCCGGGTCGGAGTCGGAGCAAGTGGTGTCACCGGAATTCACGTGCAGCAACGGTCGGTCGAGTAACTCGAATGGCTTTGATTTCCCGTATAATTACGTAGATGCCATCGCCGATAACGAGATTGTCTCGCGACTTTTGGGCGGGAATCAGATGTGGTCGACGCTTGATCCACTTGTGGCTCGGCAGCAGAGAACTTTCTAAAGCTTGTCACGTGCGCGCGATTTATAGTTAGTGGGAAACTGACTGACACGTGCGATTAGCTGGTTTGAAAGTCGCTAGCTGCGTCAGAAGGTCAGAGACGGGTTGGGCCTTTTCAGCAACAAATTGGGCTTTGGCTTTCTTATTTTATTTTTTGTTACTCCTCTCCCTATTAGAGTACGATGATGTTGTATTGTTTCCAGAAAGCAACTAGTTTTGGAATAAGAAAAATTACAAATGCATTTTAAAAAAGAAATAATCTGTTATGTATTCTTGAATTTTACCGGAAACAACAATCTAGCTTTGTTATATACAAAAAATGGTATAACAAAATGTGGAGTAATTTGGAAGATAGATAGGTACTACTAGTGTTGGGAGGAGAATATAGGAAAGAAGGAAGCTCGAGATCCGAGTATACAAGTAGAGAGTTGCGTCGTCGTATTGGAAAATTGTCGGTAATGGGTAGGGTCTGACAGATAACAGTCTTATCGTTGCAACTTGCATTCAAACAAATCTCAGTGTGTTCTCTCTATAATCTTGTAATAAATTAGTTTGTTTTTGTCTTTTGTTTGTTTATATATTTAGTATTAGATTTGTGATACGAGTTTATATTTTCTAAATAAAAAAACCACTAAAACAAGATTAGGTGAATTGTTTAGGGTTTAAGTTGGAGCTCCCGTCATTTACATGTATTGAAAACGACGACTGACTGAAATCGTGAATATGGTTTTACGTGAAGATCCCTATAGAACTGATGTAAACTAGTTTCTATGAAAAAAAAATGATTTTATTAGCTTGTTGGAATTGAATGATATTTTATATTATATACTTTTTAAGAATATGAATGATCATATATCACACATTAAATACAATTTAGCAATGAGTTGTCATAAGTACTTTTCAATCGGATTTATCATTCTTTAATTCCTTTTTTTCTAATAACATAACATGTTATCTTTTTCTTTTTATGTGGTCGTCTAAATTACTAAACTTTAAACTGGAATTATCAAGTTTTCTTAAGATGTGAATTAAGAAAACGCTAATAATTTATATATCCTAGATGAAGGTTTTATATAGATGTTGCCTAGGAAATAGGAAAAAATATTAGCAAACTAAACTATCCTATGTTTAGGTGAATAATAATCGCTTCGCGAACCAAATTTAGTTATATACGAAAAACTGATTTATACTTGATATACAACAAATATTTTTATGTTTTTTTTTTGTGTGGATTCGGAAATGTTTTATCTGACTTCCTAAGTTCACGACAACAATTCAAAGTTTGATAAAGAAATAGTGAGAGTATATTTATGGGATCTAATCTGTAATATAATATTTCCAAAAAGTGAAGTTAAAATCAAAATTAAAATAAGATTTTAGATGTCATATAGTATGTATGTATGAAAAAAAACAGTAAAGGATGGGGTCGACATATTTGTTGCCAACTGAAAAATTGTAGAGAGAGACAGTCAGTCTCACTGAGTGGGGTTTTAAGTCCATGTTAGGTATGTTTGTTGTTGCTCTCACAAACCCTTTATTTTCATAAACCAATCTATCGGGTTACACTTTATATATATGCTTAAATTTATTACTACCATTCTTCTGTGTGTTTTTTTTCAATAGCAACCAAAACTGTTCAAAAATCATTATCCAACTCTCTCTTGTTTCTCCCAAATCAGGAAAATTTCGATAAGACCAACATTATCAATGGGATCTTAGAGGCTAAGATCCCACCAATAATGTTGCCCTAACATAGCTAAGATACCGAGACCTAATTATGACTAGAACAGTGTAAATCTGTTATATATATCCACAATCCATATTGTTATGTTTTTAAACTCGTATTCGTGTCGACGCAGCCAAACTGATGATTTCCCTTAAACCCATTGAGCTAGTTATAGCCTTTAGTGTACTTAATGCATGTAATACTTATACCACTTATCTCATAGAAGATCACACATATGTTCTGTTGCAAAATTTTAAAACAAGTATTTGCATTGTACATTACACCAGAGAAATAAAAAGTTGTATATAGAGAAAAGTTCAATATTCTACAAACATATACTATCATCACACATAAACTAATAAGCTGGGCAGATCCGAGATCACGCCTTGGTCAAATTAAAACCGAGGAGAATCTTTTTCTGCCTATGTTAAAACTTGAAAACTATATAGTTTTTTTTTGGGGGGCCTGTGTTATTGTATGATATTTCTGTGATACAAATAGACAAAAAAAGGATATAATGTTTGGTTACTAGTCCTCTATTAATATCTTGTTTATTCAGTACTTACTTTGTTGTAAGCAGTTGAAATTAGATGAAATAGGACACTTATCTTGTTAAAATGGTTGTGAATTAATAGACCGACCGATCATATATATATATATATATATATAGTTAGAAAACATACTTGGTCAAGAGTTAATGATACATTGACACATCATTGCCCATCCTGCTTTATAAAACACAAAATATATAGTACTAATCTTCTGTTTTCCTAATAGAAATTATTTTTATATCATTCTTATCTTATTTTTCACTGGTTTTAACATAACACAAACATATAGTTAAACAGAAAAAAGAAAAAATAAATCAACGGAAGAACAAACTCGACATTGAAACAGTCTAAAACATGAATCTCTATCTATTGTTTGGGTTTGACAAAATCATGCTTGGTAATTTATGGACTTTACCCCTAATTCACACTCACTCCATCATTATTAATGGCTGCCATGGCAAATTCACCAATCAAAGAAATTTCAATCATATGAGACTTTTTCAACTGACGTTTAATATATTTTTTGAATTAAGAATTTGATACGCTACTGTATACTCAAAATCTAATTTATTACAAGCTTTTGATGAGACAACATGGATCATTAATGGATAATTTAAGGTAAGAAAATATGATAAATTAAGTGTTGGGGGGGGGGGGGGGGGAAATGATAATTAAGGAAAGTAAAAAAAAAAAAGGAAGAAGAAGAAGAAGAAGGGGGGACTGTTCTCTTCTCTCTCTCTACTTTTCTCTTTCTCTCAGCTCGTACGTTCTTGTTGTTCCTCATTTGAGGCAATTCACCATTTTTGATTTCGACAACGACAAAAGAGAAGAAAAAGGTGATTTTATCTCTGAGCTTCTTCGTCTATTATTATCGTAATGCCTGTACGATTGATTTCTCCAATTTACTCATATTCTCAGTTCCTTCTTCTCTAATTGATTCAACGAAACTACGAACCCATTCTTTTTTTATTTTTCTTTTGGTTTATGCCCTTTGATTTTGTGATCTGTTTCTTTATCCCTCGTCGCTGATTCTGGATTAATGGTCCTTTTGTTTCTCTGAATTTCCAGAAGCGGCACTTTGCAGGTGAGTTTTGTCCGGTGTTCATTTGAGCTAGAAATGGAGATTTTACGGTGATGCTTCTTCTCTTCCGGAAGGCGGATTTTTGGGTTAGAAGCGAGGCCGAGGGATTTCGTAGGTTTCTGCACCTTCCAGGAGGTGTGTAACTTCCATTTTTACTTTTGGTTTCGTTTCTTGGGTTTTTGTTTTTAAATTCTAGCTCATGTTATGGGATTGGGAGATTTATAATGTAGGCTATTTGCAATAGATATTAGTTGGACTACGTTTATTTAGCATATGATAGAGTTGTATTTGAGGATGAAGAAATTTTTACATATTTAGGAAAAGTAGAGTTGAATTCAAAATTCTGTAGATTCTTAGTAGAGTCTTTCACTTTTTTTTTTTCTTTTGCCATTCAGAGTACTGGTCTCACGTATGTCCAGTGTGGTTGCAAAGGCAGTCTTAATGTTTGGTAAACACAAGTCAATCGCTCTGCTTGCAGTTTTAAGCTTACCTGATGTTTTTTTTTTCCCCCACGTCTAGGAAACCAAGGCTGAAGCTAAAGGCGAGTTATCATGCAGATGTTGAAGGCTTTCCTTCCTGGAACGCAGGAGGAAACATTATCTTCCTCGCAGTCCAGGTATCCATTTACTATATTTGAGAATATATTTACAGAAAAGTGTATCAAGTTCAAAAGTAGGCCAACCAACTTCTTTCACTATGTTTAAAAAAAAAAAAGTTTGGATATATTGCTCAAAATTTTCTATGGTTAAGGTTACTGGAAAAAAATGCTTCATTGCAATCTGAAATTCCAATTTTCTGTTCACCTCCTTTTGTTTGTAATATTCACATTATCCTTCTGCAATGTCTGTTGTCATGAGAAATGTAAATAGAAATCATTGCCTAAATATGTGCAGGGAAGTAGATGTAAAATTGGAAATGGACGACCCAGAGAAGGCAATGGCAATGGTTGCTCAGCTCATAGAGCAACTTCACGCAAAAACATCTTCTCCGCAAGACAAAGAACTCACAACAGCTCGTCTACTAGGTATTGCAAAGGGCAAAAGAGAGGCAAGAAGGCTGATCGGTTCATATGGTCAAGCAATGCCTTTATTCATTTCCATGCTCAGAAATGGAACAAGTCTGGCCAAAGTAAATGTCGCGTCAATCCTTTGCGTTTTATGCAAAGACAAAGACTTGCGACTTAAAGTGCTTCTTGGAGGATGCATCCCGCCATTACTCTCGGTTTTGAAGTCTGGAACCATTGAAACTAGAAAAGCAGCGGCAGAAGCTATATATGAGGTTTCTTCTGCTGGAATTTCCAGTGATCACATTGGCATGAAAATATTTATCACAGAAGGTGTGGTGCCAACTTTGTGGGATCAACTTAGCCTGAAAGGAAATCAGGAAAAAGTGGTTGAAGGGTATGTTACAGGAGCTTTGAGGAATCTTTGTGGCGTTGATGATGGCTATTGGAGACTGACACTAGAGGGTAGTGGTGTGGACATAGTTGTGTCTCTTTTGTCATCTGATAATCCTAATTCTCAAGCAAATGCTGCTTCTCTGCTGGCTCGTCTAGTTCTATCTTTTTGTGATAGCATCCAGAAAATATTAAATTCTGGAGTTGTCAAGTCTCTGATACAGCTTTTGGAACAGAAAAATGATATCAAGGTTCGTGCTAGTGCAGCTGATGCTTTGGAAGCACTTTCATCAAGATCCGATGAGGCTAAGAAATGTGTCAAAGATGCAGGAGGTGTGCATGCTCTTATTGGAGCCATTGTTGCTCCATCGAAAGAGTGTATGCAGGGAAAACATGGACAATCTCTACAAGAACATGCAACTGGAGCTTTAGCAAATGTGTTTGGTGGGATGCGCCATTTAATTATATACCTTGGAGAAGTATCACAATCCCCTCGTCTAGCAGAACCTATTGGTG